TAAAAAAGTATATTTATTAAATTATTAGTTTTAACTAGCCTTATTACCTAAGAGTAAGCGCTATTTAGTTCTATAGGGTTATATTAAAGGCTCTAGTAATTATAGTAATTACTAGTTTTTAGTTTAAGGTATTTTCTATAATATATATAAGAATAGTAGTAAGGTCTATAGCTAAGTATTTTAGTAAGGTACTAAATTAGTTAAGGTATAATATACCTTAGTTAACTGCAGTATAGGCTATCCTTAACTATAGTATAAGCTATTTATTTTACTATTAGCCTTTCTAGGCCTTTAAAGAGGTAAAAGAGGAAAGTAATTAGTTACTAAAAGTATATATTAAAAAGGTCTTTTTTTCTAACCTTAGGTATTATTACTACTTTTACTAGCTTAAAAGCTAGTAAGTAATATCTAAGTATAAGGTATTTTTAATATAGCTATAGTATATACTTCTTAATATATAGCTAAATAGCCTTAAGGATATTAATAGTAATATTATTAAAGCCTAGGAATATAATACTTATTAAGGTAACTACTTATATTATTTCTTTTAGTATAAGTTTTATAAGGAGCTTAATAATTAAAGCAGAGTTAATAGGTACCTATAAGTTAGGTATATTATCCTTTACTATAAATCGATCTAGGATTACAGAGTATAATACTTCTCTTCTCTAGCAAGCTAATATATACTTTCCCTTTATATTTAATAAGTAGTACTTATACTTAGTTCTTTAGTTAGGTCTAGTATATAATAGGCTAGATATCTTTTAGTTCCTAGATATTATTAATAATAGTAGTTCTATTACTCCTTTTAGCTTTCTATACTTTCCTTTAAAAGGCTACTTATACTAGCTAGACTTTTTTATTAAAGCCTAGTAATTACTTTTACTAAAGTTCTTAGTATAGCTTATATTACTTATTATATTATTTATTCTACTACTTTATATATAGTATATTCTTTTAAAGTATTTAGCTTATATTATTAACTACTCTTAAGATTAGGTCTTATAGTATAGCTATTATAGTATTAAGTTCTTCTTATATATCCTCTTTATCTAAAAGCAGCTAAATATTATCTTATACTATACCTACTATATACTATATATCCTCCTTATTAAAAATAGTAAATCTTATTAGTTAAGGAGGCTTAGGTTATGCTACTAGTAGTATAATAGTAATAGTATAGTGGTTAAAGCTAGTGGCTAGGTGGCCTTTCATAATTACTAAGGCTTCTAGGATATTTAATTATATTAAGTCTATAGTATTACTATATAGGTTAGTAGGTTTATTTAGGGGGTTAAAGAGCGTAAGCCTTTTATTTTTTGCCTATTTAGTAATATTATTTCCTTTATCTCTTATTTTTATAGCCTGCTATAAGTAGTATATAGCGAGCGTTAAAGTTACCTAGGATAATGGCCTTATTATTAATAGGTCTTGCTATTAGTATATTTAGTGCTTTATTTATTTAAGGTTTATAGTAAAAGTTAGTAAGGGATATGTTTTTTATTTATACTATAACTATATCTTTACTAAGCTTATAATTAAGTTATTTCTTTATTAGCTAGCTAGTATTAAGGGTATATATTATAACCCTAGGTCTCTTTATTAAGTCTTTCTAGTAGTAAACTAAAGTATATATATTATATATAGCGTATTTCTTTATTTTATACTCTCTTTTTATAATAAAGGTCTATAGCTCTTACAGTATAATAATATTATAGCTATTACTATATACTAAAGTAAGTACTATATTATATAATAGCCTGCTTTTACTAATATTTACTTAAAAGACCGTAATAGGTTATCTATCTTTCTATTAGTATATCCCTCTTAATATACTTATTACATATAAGGGGTTAGTATTATTAGGGGACTTACTTATCTATATATCTGTAGGTTAGTAATTAAGAATAATCCTTTATATTAGATAGCAGTAGCTAGTATTAACGGTATAACCTCTAGGTTAGCTATTTTAAAGAGCCTATGCCTTTCCTATTATAATTTATATAGTTCTTTTTTACTAAGTCTTTTAGTTATGCCCTAAGGGGTTCTATAGGGCTTTACTAGGCAGTCTTTAAAGTCTACCCTATATAGTCCTTAGCAGTTAGTATATTAAATAGTATTAGGATATTAGTATACTTTATTATTATATTCTATTTATTTATAATTCTTATACCTAAAGGTCCTAGTATAGTTAAATAAGGAGTAGTACTTTTAGTAGTTATTATACTATTAGGATTAGGTATTTCTAATTAAAGCTTTTAAAAGTTAGCTAGTACTAAAGAGCATAAAGCAGGTTTTAGTTTCTAGGTAAAGGAGGTAATAATATCTACTTTTCTAGTAGTTTTATTAGATTTTTTTATAATCTACGCTTTTACAGGCTTAAGGCCTATCTAGGCTTTAATTTCTATCTTAATATGCTTTATTAGGTTAATTCTCTTATTACTAATAAGTATATTTATAGGCATATCTTTAATAATATAGGTATACTATTTGCTTAATTTCTTTATAGTATCTGCGCCTATCTAGGATATAATATTACCTAATATGTAGAAAGGTATTTTTCATAATAGTGCTAGCAGGTCTAACTGCCTATCCGCTTCTAACTTATTTTATGTATAGAATATTAGTAGTTATAATTCTATATATTTTTATAAGCTTATCCTAAATAATATATAGTTTCTAGCTTTATATAAGGGACTAGCCTTCTAGCTAGATAAAGATATAGTAATTAGTACTTATATTATTCTTATATATTAGGGGCTTAATTATAGTTACGCCTTGTTTCTAAGGGTTATTAGTTATCCTATTTATCTATTATTTAAGGATTTCTATATAGTTAGTAATATCCCTCTTTACTAGCTTTAGCGCTATAGCTGCCTTATCCTATAACTTTATCTAGTAGGTTAGTAATATCCCTTTTTACTAGCTTTAGTACTATAGTTGCCTTATCCTATAACTTTATTTAGTAAGTAATTAGGCCTTATGCTAGAGTATTAGTATACTATTAGGTATAGTTTCCCTTACTTTTATAGATATTCCTAATACTATTAATAGCCTTATAAAAGGCTATAAAGATATCTAGTTTAGTTTCTATCTTAGTATAAATATTTACAGTATAGTTATAGCCTATAAGGTAAATTTTATTATTAGTAGTTATACTAATATTATTATTCCTTTTTATAATATCTATATATTTAAAGATATTATTACTAGGTAAGCTTAGGGCTTTTATAGTAGGCCTGTTAGGTTTACTTATAGTAACTTAAGGTATAGTAACTTTATTTTATTACTTACTATATAAGGTAATAGGAACTGTATTATAGTTATTATATTAGGGGATTATTATATCTAAGAAAAGATATTTCTATCCTGTAAGCTAGGTATTTTAAGCAATAGATTGCAGATTATAAGGTATTTACTATTTAAGGTTAAAAAGGCTACCTGCTAATACGCTTGCTACAGGCAGGGGCATTGTAAGGGCGTCTGGATAGTTAGTTTAGTTCTGTATTTTAGTGTTACTGATAGCTTCCTTGGCAAAAGGTGCTAAGAAAGTGGTATGTAGGAGGGAAGTGTCTGTGAGCTGGCTTTCTCGGAACCTTAAATTGATGCCCTCTAGGTTTGGCATGTCGAGGGACAACAGTTTTCGGAAATGTTCAGCGTCTAATTCGTTTACATTAAAGTGGCCGATGGTGGGAAGGTCCTCGGGGTGATGGTATAAGTCTCTGTACACGTCTCTTGTGCATGCACGGTTTTTTGTGATTGTCATTCTTCTGTATTTGACCTTTGGCGTCTTTGGCGCCCTTGGCTTCCTTGCGGGCGCTTTCGTTTTGCTTGACTGCATGGTTAATGGATTTGAAGACATTATTTAGGTGGGAATGTATGTGGCTGTCGACCCGTGAGTTCCTCTCTTCTGACGCGGGTTGGACTAGGTAGTTAGGGATCAGAGGCAGGTTCAGCAATCGCGACGCGTGGAGAAAATATTCGCCCCAGAAATCCATGACATAATCTCAGTTTTCTAACCAAATGTGACTTAGTGTAGCTCCGGACAAGAGATGTGCGGATCTGGCCAATCACCAAGTTTCTCCTTATACTTACTGACCAGAATCACATCTATCTATCTGTCTATCTATGTATCTATGTATTCAAGATAGGTCTATGCCCGTATTGGTAGCCATCTTGTAGTTATTGTCACTTTGATCTCTCATCCGAGTCTTCTACTGATGCGCCCTGCTATAACTACCTACCCCGCGCCGGCAGTACAGTTTACCACTAACCCAAATATGGGCAAAGAATCTCAACCATGATCGAAAACACGATAAGCTATCAATTAGTTAAATACTCGCCTTGTTCCTGGAGCGGATGTTGATTGTTGAATCACAATAACATCAAGAACTCTTCTCAAATAAACCAAAACCCATTTCAGATTTATTCACTTCCAAATAAGCATCATGTCAAACACAACCGGAACACCTGCAACCTGGGTAGTGGTTGGTGCTTCACGGGGCATCGGCCTTGAATATGTTAAGCAGCTCCTTCAGGCAGGAAATCGAGTAATCGCCACAGCTCGGAACCCAGAAGCATCGGGACTCTCGGAAGTTATCAAAGCTCATGGCGCTCCAGACAATTGTATCGTCGAGCAGTGCGACGTTGCGAGTAGCGAAAGCATTGATGTAAGCCCAACTTATTCCCCCAAGTCATTTATCATAGACATTTCTAATAGCCTTATGCACAGGCATTTGTAGCGAGGACGAGCACTCTTATAAGCAAGAGAATCAGACTTGACAACATCATCATGAATGCAGGTGTTCTCAGATACCCTAATCGAGCAACAGAACTGTAATGCCCCATCGATCAGCATTCTCCTACACATGCAATTGCTAACTTGAGCTCCAAGATCATACGACAACTTCAAATTCCACATGGAAACCAACGTCATTGGACCGATCATATGCGCACAGAAACTGGTCAACTTGAATCCCGATAGCCCTCCTTCGAAATTGATCTTCATCTCATCCGACTCCGGGTCGACCACCAATTTCCTCGCATATGAAGACGGCTTCGCAGCATATGCGGCTAGCAAGGCTGCACTCAATCAAATGCTGAGACATATGGCGGAGGAGTTGAAAAGACGCGGTGGCAAGTGGGCTGAGATATGTGTTCTGGCTCTCCACCCTGGCGAGGTGCATACGTGAGTATTCATTCCATGTTCGAGTATGAAAGCTTGACTGATCATTATTAGCGATATGAACTCTGGCGAGGTTGGCACCTGGGATGTAGGAACGCTCTTGGAGCCGGACGAGAGTGTCTCGGGTATGCTCAAGGTGATCAATGAGAAGAATCACACGGATACTGGCACACTCTGGTGCTGGGATGGCAGGGCAAGTTTGTCAACTCCACGTTGGGTATGATACTAATAACTCACAGGCTTATCCATGGTAATGAATGTCAGCCAAATTGGATGTCTTGTCAGTAACGCTTGCCTTACGAGACTTCGATGAATCCCTCATCATTCACGGTTTGTGTTACTCTGTGCAGAAACCACGGACCAGGCAGCCGACCAAATGCAGACCCGTTTCATAACGCTAAACAAGGTCGCCCCAAACTCCTTAGCTATATAAATGACATTGGAATTGCTAACAATATCATGATGTTCTCCCGTGAATCACTATAGACGCTGCGAAGCAACATGCAGTCTAGTTCATCTTTCAACAAGTTGCTTCCAAGTTCCACCGGCCGTTTTCACGGTCCAGTGACACGACCATACAGCTTTTCATGAGATTTCCAGAGTATGCGCTCTGATAAATAGAACATGCATTGCCCAGAGCGCCTGACTTATCAGGTATTCAGATTAAAACAACTTTAAGAACCCGAGGACTCTTTATATATACGCGTTTAACCCCTTGGTTAATAAACAGCATGTTTGGGGCTAATTGATCTAGAAGGCTCACGGCATCTTTCACCCGATTATCGGAAGCGCTTATTGGTGGGCTTTTCTGAATTTGGTCGTGCCGAACCGCTGGGTCGTTTCATGAACCCTGTCATCAGGAGACGCAACCCACAATGAAATGACCTTCATTAATATCCGATCATTGTTCATCAATATCGAACGCTAGTTTTTCGAATTACGGACGGTCTCCATGTAGCTTGCCCACTGCCAGATCAGTGCTTTAAATATGATAATGGGAACCCCAGAGGATGTAGATCTCTTTGTATTTCTGTCTGTCGTTTCTCCTTGAGTCCACTAGCTGTCGTTCTTTTGCACCTATTTTTATCCACACTCTTTTCCTTTTTCTTCACTATGCGTCACTCATTTGTTTCGGCATTAATTGCCGCTTGTTCCGCCATCCATGCTGCCGCGCAGCTAAACGGAAAGGTCGGACCTCTCACTTCTGCTTCAGCCAAGGCTGCGATCAAGACTTGCAACATTGTCGACTACGGTGCAAAGGCGAATGCAAAGACTGATAATGGCCCAGCAATTCAAAAGGCTTGGAATGATTGCAGAACCGGCGGCGGAGAAGTCTACGTTCCAGAGGGTGACTATGGTCTGGGTACCTGGGTGACATTGACGTCTTCGAAACCCATGTCATTTCGTCTTGATGGAATTATCTACCGGATTGGCACCGATGGAGGCAACATGTTCATGTTGAAGCACCTAGTGGACTTTGAGTTTTACAGCAGCACCTCCAGGGGAGCTATCCAGGGTTATGGATATGAGTTTCATAAGAGTATGTTCCATACATGGCCATGACTCTTGTTCAAGACACTGACGTAAAGTAGAGGATGAATATGGCCCACGCATTCTTCGGTTCTCCGATGTCAAGAGCTTCTCCATTCACGACGTTGCTCTTGTCGATTGTGAGTATCACACGCACTAATAAGTGACAAGACTGACGTAATTAAGCGCCCGCCTTCCACTTCTCTGTCGACACCTGCTCCGATGGCGAGGTATACAACATGGCTATTCACGGAGGTAACCGAGGTGGCCTCGATGGGATCGATGTCTGGGGAACTAATATCCAGTAAGGCCTCTTCACACTTTTTAGATCCGGAGTTATACTGACGTTCTTTTAGTATCCACGATGTTGAAGTCAGCAACAAGGACGAGTGTGTCACCGTCAAGAACCCCTCTGACCACCTCTTAATCGAGAACATCTTCTGCAACTGGTCTGGTGGCTGTGCAATGGGGTCCCTCGCCACCGACACTGGTAATTCTCTTTGCAATGCAAATTACCCAATCAACGCTAATTTAGACTAGATATACACGACATCGAATACAACAACATCTACACCCAGCGCTCCAACCAGATGTACATGTTCAAGTCCTACGGCGGCAGCGGCACCGTCAACAACGTTGCTCTCAAGAACTTCGCCGGCCACTCCAACGCCTACACGCTCGACCTCGATGCCCAGTGGAGCTCTATGAAGCCCATTGCCGGCGACGGTATCCTCTACAGTAACATGACCTTCTCCGGCTGGTCCGGAACCTGCGCCGATGGTCACCAGAGAGGACCAATCAAGTTCAACTGCCCGGCTGATGTTCCCTGCACTGACATGCAGGTCGACGACTTTACTGTTGGAAGTAATAAGGGCGATACCGTTGAGCATGTGTGCAAGAACGCCTATGGATCGGGAGCCTGTCTTAAGAAGGGCGATGGTGGTGCTTACACGACTACGCAGACTGTTGATGCTGCCAGCGCTGCGACTCCGACCATGGATGGAGAGCTTGAGAACGGTCTTGGTCTTACTGTTTCCATTGCCATTCCTACCATTCGGCCTTCGTTCTTCCCTGGTGTCGCTGTCATTAGCCCTCGCATGGCTGACGCCGCCAAGGCTCAAGCCACCGCTCGTGTAAAAACTTCCGTCCCCGCTGAGGCTGAGACCGCCGCTGACACTTCTGCTGCAGCTGATGTAACTGCTTCCATCAGTACTGTTGCTTCGTTTGTTACCTCTGCTATTGCCGATGAGGTTGCTCCTGTTTCCACTCCTACGACTTCCGCCCACGCGACGAACACCCTCCTCCCGGTGGAATCTTCTAGTCTCAAGACTACGGTAAAGGGTCCCTCCTGTAAGGCGAAGTATTATCGTCAAGATTAAGATGGCTAAAAACAGAGTATTACTTGGCTCTTACATCTTAACTGAACAAAGTATATTAGACTAAGAATACACCGTGCAGGTAATGACTAGCTACGCATAATTGTCCTCATTTCTCTTCTCAAGTCGTCTTCGTATTGCAAAAGAGCCATAAACTGTCGCTAGTGAGGAAATCAAGGGTAATACAATAAACAACCCAGTAACAGCGGCGCATAAAATCATCGCAAATATACTGAAACCATATGCTGCTTGCTGAAGATCAGGATCTGGACTGTTGGAATGGGAGGCTAATGATAGATTAAAAACCGAGAGAATAATAACAATGACCCCAAATGCTGACACCGCGTTATTGTACTGTAGTGGCTTGATGAAAATTCTCGACTTGGCCCAAACGAGATGAAGATCAAGTTCCTCCGCAATTACGATCTCACGGCGCAGGAATTTCTGGTAGTATAATGATCGGGGAGCTCCATGGACGGCCATCAGCCATAGCATTTTGCGTATGGCATTGAAGCGAGAAAGGTCGAGAAAGGCGCTGAGAAATCTATGCACCTCATCTCTAGCCTCATATCTCAGTGGCTGCAGTTCCCTTGCCAAGGGAGATATATCGTTGAAGGCTGCAGGGAGGACGAGGTCATCCTGAGAAACCAAGGAGGAAGCTGGCGGGATCGGGGGTTTGTATCCTGTTGATGGAATCTCCTTCTTGGATTTATCCATTTGGAGTATGTATAGTAGACAACAGATGCAGGGAAAGATTGGAGTTCTGGTGAAATTGGTCTTTGAAAGCTTGTGCAAGGAGTTTGGAGGATGCCGAGTATGCCACTGACTTGTGATTTATAGATCATGGGCTTGTAGAAAGCTGACCAGGCTATGACTCCGAGCTTATGCAATGAGGTGTGCACTATTACGTTACCTGGTTGCGCACATCAGAGTGCGATGGTGTCTATGTTGCAAATGCGGCATAAACTTTTCAGGCCAGCTAGATTTAATTGAGTCACAGCGTATGTATGTTGCAGTTATGATATAGTTTGTAGAGACATTCTGTCCATTCTCATCCAATCTTGCTTTAACTGACAAGCAAGTAATTAGACTAAGGACTGCAGATCACACACTAGCGCACAACTACATCACAAGCTTAACACGGTTTAGGTAGCGCCTACGTGCTAGATCTGTCATGATGCTATAATCATGCTGATACCCCGCACATAAAGGTATTAGTATGCTTATGGGTAGCGTAAAGTATTCTTGAAGATGAGTATCGCAAACCACTGGATATCCATCACTCTCCTTGCCACCTCCAGTTCCAAGAGAAGTACAATATCAGACTTAATCGAAGCTGATAACGTCACTTGCTGGCCGGATGGCGTGGTCTTTATTTTGGCTTTTTGTGAACTAGATGTATTATTTGCAGTTGGTACTTGTCCCTGACAGCTTAGATCAGCGGACAGAACTTAGCTACGACAGTGGCAAATTAACAGGCAAGTGCTTATATTGTATGAAGGTTTCAAATAAGCTTCAGTCCAAAAAGTCAAAGCAAAGGGCACCATTGAATTGTGATAAGGCTGAGAGGTCAAAAGAGGCTTTAGTCCACAGGGCACAAAGGTCAAGAAAAGCTAATAAAGATACACATACGGGCAATATACTCGTTGCATTTACTGTTGCCTAATATCTTGCTTTTGGCTGAAAAGCTAGATGTCCTCGTGACCATCTTAGATATAATATAAATCACGAAATTCAACAGTATTCAATATTTTCACGACCGTCTTACATAAATTCTATCAGTAATTCGACAAAGCCATGGAGGACTCAACCTATAACCGGATCACCCAGGCTGTGGAAATCGTGCCAGATGGCGATGTCGTTCTGGTAGTTGGGCCGTAGAAGACAAAGCTCCTGGTGAAGTCTCCGCTATCGATGGCAGCCTCAAAGCCATTCTCTATCATGCTCGGGCCAAATTGGAAAGAAGGCCATGATATGCGACATAGCAATGGCCCTTTCGAGTTGTTTTTGCCGGATGACGATGCTGCCGCATTGGAAATCATATGTTCTGTCATCCACTATCAGAACGATAAGATCCCACAGACCCTCCCTGCCAGCGACGTCCTGGCCGTTGCGGTTGCCGCAGACAAGTACGATTGTCTGAACGCCATACAATTTGCATACAGAGCCTGGATCCGAAAACCGAAGGAGAAATCGGAAGACCTTATGCTTCTCACAGCCGCGGCTTGCCTCTTTGCGGATGCACAAGCGTTCAAAGAGGCCACTGCAGCATTGATTCTCCACCATCATGGCTCTTATCTTGCGCTCTCTGGGGAGGAGCTAGAAGCTATTATACCATGGAAAATATTCTGTACGTGATTCTATTAATCATCTGAGTATCTAACCAATATGTGAATAAATAGGTATGCTAGAAGAGGAGAGAGGGTTTAATTAATGCCTAAAGCTTATAATGCCTTTACAAAGCATATTAAGCCAATATACTAAAAAATCATATTTAACTTTAGCTTTTAAAAGGCAATATATATATAGCCTTAATAAAGATAAGTTTTTTAATAAAAAATAAAATAATATACTTTTATAATAACTTAATTAATAACCTTATTAGTAATAGCTAGGGTATAAAAAGCCCTTTTAATTCCTTATTACTAAAAGTAAAAGTAATTTTTATATAAAAAAAACTATAAAAAAACCTATAAAACTATAAAAATACTATTACTAAGTAAAAAAATTACTTTTTAACTATTAGCTAATAGTTACTAATAAAACTATAAGAATTATTAACTATTTATAGGCTTATTAATTAAAGACTATAGGCTTTTTTAAATACTTATTAAGAACCTTTTTAAGAAGTTTAAGAAGTATCTTATTCCTTTTTGTTAAGGCTTGTATAAAATAGCCTATAAATT